CGAGGTTGCTGAGAGGGCATCGAGCTGGCTCTGGACACAACAGAACAACGTGGGGGACGGGCCTCGGTGAGCTGGTCCGGGTGTCTAGTGAAAAAGAATGTCTTATCCCTTAAAGTCCATCGTGTCTGAATTGTCTGCCAGTGTCCCTCTGCCACCTGCCAACAAAGTCCAACATGTGTCCGGTAAACCAATCGTAAGCTAGCGACTCGGTCGTCCAGGTATGCAGACTGCTTTAATTATGCTACCGCAAAATCACCAATTCGTCTTGTCCCTGTCCGAATAACATCCGGTAATACGTGCAGCAGGGGAAACCAACCCTGAGCTTCACGAACTCAGATTGGGCCACTATCTGAAAATGTCTAGGAGCTCGTGGGCAGAAACATTTGTCGACGAGAGGTTACTTCTACTGATGATTGGTAGACCCCTGCAGTACATGCCCCCCTGTGGAGTTTCTTCTTACTCATAGTTAGTCAACGTACTCGTTTTAATAAGCATTAGTTAAGTCCTAGTGCCTGTAATGAAACATTCTGCCTACCATTGCTTGGGCTCCAGATACCTGCTGGGGATTGTATCCTGCAAGACCTCGCCTCACCCTCCCCCTCCCTGCCTCCCTGTCAGGAAGTCAGAAGGTGTTAGTTTTGTCTGTTCTTCCTCCAGCTATTTCTATTACCATTCTCGGTAGTTATTTCCGTTTGTTCCATCCGTATTTACCACTATGAGAGAAAGACACACGAATGCATAGGTCGATACATACGTACACACCAACATTTATGAAACGGATGTTTATAGGTAGCTGCAAATAGTTTTCCAGCTTTTTGCGCTGATGTGTCATCTTCCGACTGCTTCTAGCCGTGCCTTTTGTTTCCAGAAACTACAATGTCAATTATTGTTGTTTTCAAGCGACTGTGATGTCTTATATCGTCGACACAATGTGTTTCCGAGACATGAGTACACATGCGATTCTGCAACATTTCTTGATTGTTCTTCTTGGTTGATGTTCAGTATTCTAGGACAACTTCTGTGATATTCTTAGCGCCTAGATTTTTCTGATAGAGACTGCGCAATGTTTCATAACATATGAGTGCATGACACACACACACACACACACTCTCTCTCTCCGTTTTATGTGTGTATGCGTGAGAGAGGGCGAGAGAGAGAGAGAGAGAGAGAGAGAGAGAGAGAGAGAGAGAGAGAGAGAGAGAGAAAGAGAGGCTTACACTACAAAGAGAATAAACAATAACTCATACCTAATATAACAGGAACTGCAATTCGCCCTGGCTGGGTCAGCCATAGCCCTAAATGCAGCTGCAATTAGTGGATACCTTCCCTGATTGCAAGATTCGCCGGTGAAATCATCAGAATCCAGACTATGGAACATGACACCCCCAAGCTCATGTAAGCTGGCGTAGCACGCCTATTGTGAAATGTTACATGTATTATGCACATAAGTAACATCATAGGCACATTTATTGCAGACTGAAAGATAAAAACAAGTTAGTTAGTTAGTTAGTTAGTTGGGTTATCATCATTGCACTCCGGACATGTCCATAGGTGCTCATATCCTCCCCTCAGTATGAACCCCAAACTCCGATGGCTAATAGTACCAGTTTTATGTTGATTAACAAGTCTTCTGACGTGTCCGGTGTGCGTCTCGTTTTTTGCTGTGCCGATCTTAATTCCCAAGTCTGCCATTCAGGCGAGTGATGTGGATTCACTGCCACCAAAGTACTCTATCCTTCCCATTTCTCTGAGGGCATTGATAATATCAGCATGATCCATAGGCCGACAGTCGGTAGTGATAGCGGATCCAGCCAACCTGTCAGCTCTTTCATTTCCATCGACGCCAGCGTGTCCCGGAACAAAAATAAAGGTGACTCCTCGCACAGTGGACTTCTGAATTGATTCAAGCCATTGTCTTCGCACTGAACCTGCCTGAACCCTCCGGATCATACTCATTGAATCACTGAGTATACATATGCGGGTGTATTTTTGTGTTCCAAGCCAGGCAAACGCTTGCGCCACTGCCATCACCTCCATCGTCATGATGCTGGTTGTCATAGAGAAGGCGCCGTTGGCTTCTTTGACTGTTCTGACCGCTGAGCGTGCTGTAAATGCCCATGCGCTTCTTCTTTGGCGTATAACGGATCCGTCTGTATAGATTAGTGCATCTGCTTCGTCTGAATTTTCACCGATGAGAGCGTTGACCTCTGCATTAACAGCAACAGGATTCTCTTCTCTACATCGCCTGTTGAGTGTGACAATACAGGAAAATGTACAAATAAACGCCTGAGGCGCAGGTATCCATTCTGCACCAGGTATGATGTCGGTTAGGCTGCATATTTGCCTAATATCTTCTGCTCGACCTAGCCACGATTTTCCCCTCTTCAGTCTGTCGCCCTTTTCACTAGAAAGCGCTTGATGCAGTGGGTGTTTCTTATCAGCACATATTTTGAGGTATGCCCGAGCCCTCCACATCCTGATCCTTTGGTTCATTGTTGGA